GAGGTATCCTCGTAATAACATTATTATACATCTTTTCCTTCCAAGGATACATCATGGCAATGCCAAAATCCAAAAAGTTTAGAACAGAATCAGGGAAATTCTTTCTGTGGAGTCCGGTCAAACCCTAGTGGCAGCCATGTATGTTTTTATTATTAGAGGACGTTTAGGCTTGTAATAATTCCATATTTGGAATCTGAATTTCTTTATGTCGTAGGATGAAAATACCCAGTAAAATACCACAAAATTACGTCACGCTGTAACTTATGACAATACAGTGACAGATGTATAATAATGTTATTTATGTTCACTAAATCACAATTAAAATAGAACTGAACATCTCTAGTAAATGTAAGCATGGATTTAGGAGCAGTGGATAAAATGACAGGAACAAAAGGAACATTATTTTAGGGTTAAAAATATATCTTGTGGCTCTCTTTCTTCCAACAAGATCTCATCTATAATTTGTGTCTGAATTCTATTAAATAAAAAATTATTTGATCATTGAGTACATGTACTAAGCAGGCAGTAGATCAATTTAATGGAAACTGGATTACTGAATTCTACAAATGTTTGAGATTAATTTTTATAAAAATTGTGGACAACATATAGCAACTACTGATACATGTACTGTAGAATACCTTATTTTCGCTTGAAATGTATTTTCGCTGAAGGGATGATTCCGTGAAAATAAATCCAGAGAATATACTTTTTGCCCTATATTTCACATTCAACTTGTCAAAAATCAGTGAAAATAAATTCCATACAAAACACCCAAAATGCCTTTTCAGCGAAAATTAATTCCAGCTAAAAATAATTTAAAGTATTTCACAGTGACTTCTTTAATTTGTGTATTTTTACTTCCAGCAAACTTAGAAGACGAAGAAGGTGCTCCGGAACGAGCAGTGGAAGACATGTTTATCAGGAAATTTATTGTTGGAACATTTCACAACTGCCTAGCTGCAGATACTATAATTAAAAGACGTGCAAATCAAATTAATATATGTTTACTTTTAAACCGAAATGTTCGTCCAAATCAATATTATTTTCTTGTTGGTTATGCAGAGTCATTATTATCACACTGGTACAAGTGCATTGTTAAAATTGAAGTCCAGGCTGTGGACGATGTTGTTATATATAAATGGTTATAATTTGATTCAGTCTTCCTTCTTATTCATCTTCTTCAATCTGTGTGTGGAGTGGAATGAATCTGTTCACAACATTGTCAACAGTTGTCTTTACCCCTGGTCTATACCCAAAAAACAGTTTCGTGCCTCTTAATTACCGGTAGTTTCTCTGAAAGATTTTGATAAAACTCAAAAGTGTTGATCAAGATTTATGAGTTATGTCAAGGATTCATGAGATTGGAGTATTGTAAAATAATTGTTAAAAATCAGTGAAAATAAACTCCATACAAAACATCCAAAAAGTCTTTTCAGCGAAAATTTATTCCAGCTAAAATAAAGTATTTTACAGTATGTAATTGTATGATTTATCTCAGATAAATAAGTCACATTCATTGCGATATAGTTACAAAATTGCATGAGAAACCCACATTTCTAGAAATCCTAGTGCAAAATGAAATGTCTCTGAAATAAAAAAATTTTAAATTATTTCATACCAAATCATTTTTGGTAGTTTATTCATGTTGCATTTTTGCCTACTAAATAATTATTTCCAGCATGTTTTTATTCAAATAACTTAACAGCAGATGGATTAAATGTTGATATATGCATACCGTTTTGGTAGTTGCATGACTGAAATTGTTTGTCATTAATCTGTCCATTTCAATTACCTAATTTGTTTTAGTATGCTCTTTACATATCTTTGCAGCAGTTTGACCAAATGTAAAATAATGTGTGTGTTTTATCAATTTATGCCATTAATTAATTATCAGACTGTTAATAACCAAATGTAAAATAATGTGTGTGTTTTATCAATTTATGCCATTAATTAATTAATTAATTAATTATCAGACTGTTTATTTGGCATCATAATAGTTTGTTCAAATGGTTTTAAATTTTACACTGGCATACTATGTGTAATTTAAAATCTGACACTATCTGTGAATATTACAGCCTTTTTCCATTTCATATTTAGTTTAGTCAAATGGATTGAATCAATCTATAAACCAGCATGATCAATACTGAGGAAAAAATGATTTTCAGTTTTCAGTAAACATAACAAATATCGCTAGTTGATGAATGGCACTAAGCTCTGTTCAAATAAAACATTTTTAGTCCCCGTTCGGACGCAGTTCGAAAATGAGGACTTATGTTTTGACCTCCGTGTGTCCGTCCGTGCGTGCGTCTGTGCGTGCGTCCGGACCTGTATCTTAGAAATGCCTGGACCAAATCACAATCAAACTTCACACATACATCATACATGATATTATACATATGCACGTCAATTTGTTTCACAATCTGATTCAGGATTGCCGAATGGCGGCCATTTTTGTGCTAAAAAATCCTAATCTTTACAGATGGATTTTGTTCAAACTTGGTATAAACATTGGTATATACATTAAACATTATAGGACCTTGATGCACATCATTTTATTTTACGATCTGATTCAAGATGGCCAAATGGCAGCCATTTTTGTGCTAAAAAATCCTAAAAATCAATCATTTCTCGGCTGTTTACAGATGGATTTTGTTCAAACTTGGTATATACATTATACATTATGGGACCTTGATGCAAATAATTTTGTTTTTCAGATAAGATTCAAAATGGCTGACTGGCGGCCATTTTGTATTAATGAATGTGGTTCTCGTGCCATATATCTGACTTGCTTTCACTGATTATGTTCAAATTTTAAATATTCATTATACATCATGTCATAGATAAACAGATATATTGGTTTGACAATCCTATTCAAAATGGCCGAATGGTGGTCGTTTTTGTGCTAAAAAATCATCAAATATCAAGCATTTATGGGTGGATTTCGTTCAAACTTGGTACATACATTAGACATTACAGGTTCCTGATGCTCATCATTTTATTTTTCAGATGGTTGACTGGCGGCCATTTTGTTTTAATGATTGGGCTTCTAGAGCCATATCTCTTAAATGCTTTGACTTATTATATTTAAATTTTATATATTTGTTATACATCATTCAAAATGGCTGATTTTGAATGCTGTTCCAGAGCAATATCTTTCAATATGGACAAGTACTTGTTTGACGATCAGATACAAATGTCAATCATTTTAATGTTTAAAAATCATATTCCTGACATGGTTATATTTCAGCTATATTATTATAAACAAAACTATATATCTTAAATTTGATAACTAACAGGGACTGTGCCATGCATGGCTTGTTTTTCAACATTTTGTAGTTAGAACGACTTGCTTACAAGGAGTCCTAAACTAGTAAAACAACAAATGTTGTCTTACTGTTCTTTGACTGCAGCAATTTTCACTTTTTGAAATGTTGCCATGACAACCATAAAACTATGATTTCATTGTTTTACCCATCATGGCACTGAATCGTATACTTAATTGTAATTTTTGACTCCCATGTGCGAAGCACAAAATGGGAGTCTTTGCAGTCAGTGTGTCTGTGTGTGTGTATGTGTGTATGTGTGTTAGACTGTTCCACTGCTATCTCAAGAACCATACATCGGTTTTTGATGAAACTTGGTGCATAGATGCTCTGGGCCAATGCGCAGATTTGATTAGGTTTTGGTAAAAATCCATGCTCGTTAATTACCTAATTTGCATGATAATTAGCTATTTTTTAGCTGTTCTATCACTGTTCCACTGATATCTAAAGAACCACTCATTGGATTTTGATGAAACTTGGTACATAGATGCTCTGAACTAATGCTAGATTTTGATTAGGTTTTGGTTAAAATCCATGCTCGTTAATTACCTAATTTGCATGAAAATTAGCTAATTTTTAGCTGTTTTATGACTGTTCCACTGATATCTAAAGAACCACTCATTGGATTTTGATGAAACTTGGTACATAGATGCTCTGAACATATGCGCAGATTTGATTAGTTTTTGGTAAAAATCCGTGC